CTGAGTAAATAATTCTTTGAGTGGCATTTAGAAGTTGGTGTGATGAACGAGGAGAATTCTATGGATATACAACTTCTTTAATATTAATATGAGCGACGATTCGGTGTAGCTACTAACACCACTTACTTGATAACGATGTTAGTAGCTTCACCGAAACATCGCTCATATTAATATTACAGAAGTTGTATATCCAAAGAATTCTCCTCGTTGTTCACGAAGTAATTGACATCTTGACATTGGAAAGTAAACATTAGCTAACAATACGTAGTTTCCGTGATCATAATCAAAGACTTTATTGTTGTTGTATTGTTTGTAACACATAGTAGCTTCCCCCAGAAAACACAAGGCAATCTACTGCTACAAACGAAAGAGGATCCTGTGTTTTTTTGTGCTGCTGTAACATGTCAATCAACTGAACCCGTTTATTATTATTTTAACTATAAGGGTTACAAGGATCCCTGCTACATCATACTAAATATTCCGTCACTGGATCTGAGAGCTTGATTTCTAAACTCGCTACACCTTGTCATGGGGCTGAAACAACCCTATTTTACTACATGACATGCATCCGGTACATTGACATGATCCACACACTGCTGACATGACGACATGTGCCTCAAGACCCCATGGGGCTGAAACAGCCCTTCCCTATTACATGACATGCATCAACATGATCCACACACTGTTGACATGACGACATGTGCCTCAAGACCCCATGGGGCTGAAACAGCCCTTCCCTATTACATGACATGCATCAGGTACATCAACATGATCCACACACTGTTGACATGATGACATGTGCCTCAAGACCCCATGGGGCTGAAACAGCCCTTCCCTATTACATGACATGCATCAACATGATCCACACACTGATGGTACACAGGCATTTGAGTCTCATGACGATTGTGAACATCATTCAAAAGATGTCACAGCTTGAAATTTTTCATGGGTACAGTGACACTGTCATCAGTCCATAAGTGAGTGATTATAGTCTTACACCACTTGTAGCAATATTCCAGCAATATCATGGCGGGGGACACAAGAAATGGGGGTACACCTACAGAATACCGGATACCTACCAGCCATATTGTTTAGTGTCACGTCACCCGAACCCAAACGCTTAACCCTAAACCTTACCCTGACCCTAACCCTAAACCTTAGCCTAACCCTAAGTAAACTCGCGTGCTTTCAAAGATGGCAGAAGGTATCCGGTATTCTGTAGTCTTACCGAAATGGGCTTCACACACTGTACCCATGTGGGGAATCGAACCCGGGTCTTCGCATGAAGAGCGAACGCTTTAACCACTTGGCTACCCCACTGCCTCCATCATCAGTCCATGAACCTGATGATGTGTACTAGTATCTTGTGCCTGTACGCTGTCACATAACAAACTATAATTTATACATATTGGAAACCAAACAACCCCACCTTCCACCCCCAATACATTTTCTTCACATTAAGTACACTTATCAACTAAAGTAAGAAATAAGGGGTATGACCAAATCTGGGCTCATTGCATGAAGATATTATACTTGCAGCCTTTTTTTCACAACATGCATCACCATGCTCAAATTCTGCTAATGCAAAATATTCTAATGACTGTGAAAACAAAATATTATTTAAGAATAATCTACTCAGCTCTACAAACAGTGAACATTATTTACAGATATTGTGAGTCTTTCTATATATTCACATGACTATTTAGTTGTCCTTAGTGAAACTCACACCTCCCATGACCACTATATCAACATTTACCATCAAGATCTGAAGATAACTTGGTCATGTGCAGCTCTCCTCACTGACTAGCACAGAGAAATAACAACCACTTCTCTCCTTGACTCTGAGATAATATTTGGCTAGTTCCAGGTTGTTCACATGTGAGTTCATGTGGCCCTCCTGTTAGGTCGCAGCACTTAGGGACCATTCATATACTACTCACACTTTGCTAAGGATCACAGAAATTCTTTACTTAAACATAGATTCATAATTTGAAATTGTATCCATTTAAAACTGGATAAATAATAATATGGTAACCCTTCTTTAGGCAAACAGCCACTTCAATCTAACCAATCATGTATCAATGATACATGAGTAACCATAAAAATGGTTGTCATGGCACCAATTAACCATTTTGCAAATCATGGAATGATTCATTGACAAGTACACAACACCTGTCAATAGCAGGTATGGGATCCACAAGATGCAGTGACATACTGAAACCTAGGATCCATGCTTACAATAAGCTTAGATATTGCAACCAATTTAGACCCCACATCATAGTTTTCTGTTGAATCAACGATCTGATCCTTAGCAAAGTGTGAATAGTATAACTTATGGCTAATAGGGAGGGGTGTGTGTGTGTGTGTGTGTGTGTGTGTGTGTGTTGCAGATGTTTGTTCTGGGGAGGTTGGGGGAGGGTCATAAATTTTGTACACATGTACTAGTGGGGTGGTCACTTATTTAGAACATAAATTTTAGGGAGGGTCATTCACATTGTACATGCTTCTCCATAAATATCATCATCACCCCCCCACACACCCCAATGGTTAACGGTCCCTTATGTCACAGTCTTCTGTACAGATGAAAAGAGTGGAACCATCTCGACTCCATCATACCACAATAGAAACTAACATTATAGCCCACTAGTCCTGTAACTGTAACATACAGCAAAACCATTAAAATGACAAATTTCAACTACCGATAGTCCTCAGGTTGCCTCGAATTACTTTTGCAAGGAAATGGACTAGTGCATATTTCTGCTGCTGCTGTCATACTTTCAGTTAGGGGTGAAACTATACAACAGTGTACCATGAACTTCAAACCAGTTTTCATGTGATGATATGATACATGATACATTTTTTTCTGTATCGATACAATATACAACATGCTACTCATTTAATGACACCCCTACCGTCTGGCATTTTTGCCACTTAAATGTTGCAAAATGAACTGTAATTAGCATTTCACTTTAACTACTAAAAAATCTGCTTGTTGGCTTCACCTTTAGTGGGTGAGTGAGTGAGTTTGGTTTTATGCCGCTTGTAGCAATATTCAAGCAACATCACAGTGGGAGACACCAGAAATAGGCTTCACACATTGTGGCCATGTGGGGAATCGAACCCAGTCCATCGGTGTGACTATCAAATGCTTTAACTCCTAGGCTACCCCACCGCCCTTCACATTTAGAGCCCACTCTGAAATATTATAAGTCAAGTAGTTTCCACACAATTTGTCCTGCATGTGTATTGAAAAATGGTACGCCCTGTGATCTTTCTGTGTTGTTTCACCCCTACCTACAGCATTATTCCAGAGTATTCCTACATTTTGCATTGCATTCTTGAGAACTTGGTTTCGAAATACATGAGTCTGTACAAGACATTGGATGAATGGTCACAATGATTCCTTATAGTATGAAGCAAGTAAGGACAAAACTCTTTCTTACAGCTCAATCTTTGCAATATGTGGTACCAATAAATAAATTAATGTCTGACCAATATTATTTGTTATTTTACAAGCTTTCTTGGCTGAATGAAAATAAGGTAAACTTATAATACCTAGAATTAAGATTACGGTAGTATTTTCTAAATACCCGAAGGTTAATGTTAATGAATTGGTAATGTTGACATAGGTTTAAGTTTAGTCGTGATAGAGTCCAACAGTAACTGATAACTATGAGGAGCGCACGTCCAGAATACAACTCTCCGATTAGCCCGAAACATAGTTCTGGATTCCTGTGACAGACAAATAGCTTGATGAGATATCCCTGAAAAATCTTTCATGGTATTTACATCATATAAAGTCTACAATTGTGTAGTGTTACCACAAGTTTGTGACCATAAGAAAAATTATTCCCAGTTTAAAATGTCGGACACAAGTTACTATAGACTTGCTATCAATCTAATCTGACAATTATGTTAAATATGCTTTTGTTCCATCAAAACGTTTGTTTTTTAAATATCTAAGCAAATTTACAAAAATATCTGGAGTTAAAGTAAGGATATTGTCAACCAAGACAGCACATTGTGTTATTTATTTTGTCTAGTAAAACATTGGGCAAGTTTGTCCATAAAACAAGAAATGAATTAGTTAAACATATGATCTGGACCCCACAGCACCAACAAAGCAATGTTAGGGTTAAGTTGACAGGAACTTCCATACTTTTAAAGACACAATCCCGAGATGACGTAGTGTTAACACCATTGCCGTGGGTTAATTACCATATCACGAGACCAGACCTTCTCTTGATTGTAAAGAAATATACCAATTCCGAAATGAGACCAAACAAGCCTAATGCATTCCTAACACATTCCTTGTTTTTGCATAGCGATATTGATATGCTACTACAACTGCGACAGTGATGTGTGCATGACAATACATGTATGTCTACAAGTGACTGTATGGACAGCTCTCTGAAGTGCTTTGATGACAGCACCTGGAGCCATATAACCATTGTAAGCAAAGGATAAATACACAAAGGGAAAGATTTTTTTTAGGATGTTTTCTCAAGGTTAAGCATTCTGTCAGATATGATTCTAGACATACAGACTTGTATGAAATGAAACTGATGATCAACATGCAATATCTTTGATGGACTGTGAGGAGATGTGACGATTGCTAATTTGGTGCTGGCCTATGCTATAGGTATGATGCTGGCTGCTTGGAACTTTGGGTAGGAGAGTGATTAACTCGGTCTTACGTTAGTTGTACTGCTAATATCACTTGCGCAATGGGGACCTGAATGTATTCCTAGGTTCTTAGAATCAGATCTGGGTACTGCTCCACAAAGCGATCGTAGCGCATGATGATCATCACTCCCATACTTTAACATAGACTTACCAGGGGTGGAAATAACTTTAAAATTGCTAGTGTACTCCGGTACAGAGGCATATGTAAAATCACTTGCCCTAATAATTTGTCCACTATACCGCCGTTTTCTTGTTGATTTTTTAAATAAATAACATTATTAACATTGGAAAGTCAACTGGACACCGGTACAGCGTGATATACAAATTTGCTTGCCCGACAGAAAAATACACTGGACTCGGACGTCGGGCAATGGGTTATTTCCACCCCTGCTTACGACAGTCATATCGCTACGATCGCTTTGTGGAATGGGCCACTGTACTGTATTCCCTTGAAGCAAGTCTCGGGCAGTGTTCACTGTGGTAGAGGTCCATAAAACAAGAAAGCGATCTTAGCGATAAGTTGATAGTAACTCCCATACTCAACAGAGGCTTATGATGATAGTCGTAGCGCTAAGATTGGTTTGTGCAACATGGCCGAGTCTCTACAAGCAGCCAGTGGAGGAGACAGCGTGGTGGACCCCGATATTGTCACACGGACATGATGACAGGTGACACAACAGTGGTTGGCATGAAGGTGAAGATGAAGATGATCAGTACTTCTTCAATGTCTTGCGGATCAATGCCATCCTCTGAAACACAAAATGGAGGTTAGAAACAGACATGTTGAGAACAAAATATCAAAGGTTTAACATCAGTCAAAAGACAGAGTGGGTTTGCCATGTTGTACTGGATAGATTGATAGAATGATCAGTCAATCGTTTGATCTCGCTTGTCAGCAATTACCGATGAGCTTCTGAGACTAATTAATGTGTATAAAAAGTGAAACATCAAATTAAACTTTAGAAAGTATGTTTCTTATTATGTTTGTTAAATCAAAACAAAACTGATGCAGTTTCCTGACTCGTAAAACTGCAATGTAAACAACATACTGGTGTGAATGTCTCAACAGGATGTATCCTCGATCGTCTTGATCACGGTACTATTCAATGCCTGGTGAGGTGAGGTGAAATTGGGTTTAACGTCGTGCTTGAGAATATTTCGCTCATATGACGACGTGCATGCGTGTGTGTATGTGTATGTGAGGCTGCTTGTACTAGCCCAGACTGAAGCTGGTTTTATAGTGCTAGCCCACTGAGATACCATGCAGCAGTGAAGCATGAATACCCCACTCAGACACATTATACTGACTCCGAGCCGACCAGTCCTTGGTGTACCCATTAATGCCAAGCGCCATGCTGGGACCAACAAGTACCATATTTTAATGTCTTTTGGTATGACGCAGTCGGGGATCGAACCCGCGACCTTCCGCTATCCGGGCAGACGCTCTAACCACTACACCACGGAGGCGGTCTATTCAATGCCTGGTACATTTCCACAATGTTATAATTGTGTCCTGTTGTTGCTCATATGTTCAGTGGTGGGGTTTACAATTACTGATCGACTACTGAGCCCCCGTTATCAGTCTGCATATTGTGAGCAATAACCAGCACTATAACCATGCCACATGCACCTCCAGTCACATGAAGCTGTTTGTAATATACAGCGTCAGCAATATCACTAAGCTTGGGAAGTGCATGTTGACTGAGTGAGTGGGTAGGGTTTTACACCCCTTTTAGCAATATTCCAGCAATATCACGTCGGGAGACACTAGAAGTGCATTTTGAATGTTGATGTCTGACTGGTGATTTTGATGAATGCTTATGGTTATTTGTTGTTGAGATTTAAGTGAGATAATATTTTTGTGTATTTTTAGCTTTATCCACACACCCTGACCCTCCATTTCCATAGGACCCATGACGAGGTGCCTAACGGGATTGGGTGGTCAGGCTCGCTGACTTGGTTGACACATGTCATCGTATTCCAATGACGTAGATCGATGCTCATGCTGTTGATCACTGGGTTGTCTGGTCCAGACTCGATTATTTACAGACCGCCGTATATAGCTGAGTGAGGTGTAAAACTAAACAAAACACACTCACTCACCCACCCATTTCCATTGAGAAATATGGAAAAGGGACACAACTCTGCCATGCCACTCTAGCAATCCAAGTTTTGTCAAGCTGGTGATCAATCTGGTTCCTTAGATTCCTCACCTGTTTATGAGCCTCTGTTACAGCTGCCTTCTTGAAAGGGCGGATCTCCTCTGAGCCAAATCCAGGCACCCACATGTTCCAACTTCTCTCTGTGGACAATAGGCGCAAACAGTGATTAATGGATTACTGAGTGAATATTGCTTAATGTGGCAGTCACCAATAATTCAATTGTATTACGCTGCTATGTTAGCCATATCAGCTGTATCACGCTGCTATGTTAGCCATATCAGCTGTATCATACAGCTATATTAACGATATCATAGTGTATTATACATATGTATTAACTACATTAGCTGTATCATACAGACATATCAACATTAGTTTCATCACACAGCTACATCCGTTTTATCACATACTACATCATTTTTATCACACAGCTATATCAGTTTCAATTTTATCAGACAGCTACATCCATTTTATCATACACTACATCCATTTCATAACACAGCTACATTAGTTTTATAACAGCTACATCAGTTTCAGTTTTATCACACAGCTACATCCATTTTATCACAGCTGAATCAGTTTTATCACACAGCTACATCCATTTTATCACAGCTCCATCGGTTTTATCACACACTACATCGGTTTTATCACACAGCTCCATCAGTTTTATCACACAGCACCATCGGGTTTCATCACACAGCTACATCAGTTTTATCACATACTACATCATTTTTATCACACAGCTATATCAGTTTCAATTTTATCAGACAGCTACATCCATTTTATCATACACTACATCCATTTCATAACACAACTACATTAGTTTTATAACAGCTACATCAGTTTCAGTTTTATCACACAGCTACATCCATTTTATCACACAGCTAAATCAGTTTTATCACACAGCTACATCCATTTTATCACACAGCTACATCAGTTTTATCACACAGCTACATCGGTTTTATCACACAGCAACATCAGTTTTATCACAGCACCATCAGTTTTATCACACACTACACTGGTTTTATCACACAGCGACATCAGTTTTATCACATAGCTACATCAGTTTTATCACACAACCACATCTGTTTTATCACACAGCCACATCTGTTTTATCACACAGTTACATCAGTTTTATCACACAGCTTCATCAGTTTCAGTTTTATCACACAACTACATCAGTAAGCTACTTCAGTTTTATCACACAACCACGTTTGTTTTATCGCACAGTTACATCAGTTTTATCATACACCTGCATCAGCTACAGTACACAATTACCATGATTACATCTGGGTTTTTTCACACAACTACACCACACATCTACACCAGCCATACCACACAGCTACAGGGATATGTGTGTGGAAATACTGATGATATAAGCCTGCTGTTACATCTATGATAATATACTGTGACATCAATGTTGACATACTGCAACACCAATGTTGACATTCTGTGACAACCATTATGACAAACTGTGTCAACAGACCTAGATAGAGCTGGACATCCTTTACTTCTAGTGTGTTTGACTTGCGGTGTTTGGCAATCTGGCATGAAGCACTGACCACATTCTCAATGAAGTCATCAGCTATCTGAAGAAGAACCTGCAACAAGGTATGAGTTATCCCGGTTACCATGGTTACTGTTGAAACTCAAAGCCACAAAGACTCCCTGAAGAAGAAACATGTCTGTACTTGTTAGTGAGTTTAGTTTTATGCCGCACTCAGCAATATTCCAGCTATATGGCGGCGGTCTGTTAATAATCGAGTCTGGACCAGACAATCCAGTGATCAACAGCATGAGCATCGATCAGCGCAATTGGGATATGATGACATGTGTCAACCAAGTCACCGAGTCTGACCACCCGATCCCATTAGTCGCCTCTTACGACAATCATGGGTTACTGAAGATCAATATTCTAACCCGGACCTTAACGCGTTCTACTTGTTAAACCATCTAATCATTCATAGGTATCTCCTTACCATGTCCACTAGTTACCTCCTTACCATGTCCACTAGTTATCTCCTTACCATGTCCACTAGTTATCTCCTTACCATGTCCACTAGTTATCTCCTTACCATGTCCACTGGTTATCTCCTTACCATGTCCACTAGTTATCTCCTTACCATGTCCACTAGTTATCTCCTTACTACCATGTCCACTAGTTATCTCCTTACCATGTCCACTAGTTATCTCCTTACCATGTCCACTAGTTATCTCCTTACCATGTCCACTAGTTATCTCCTTACCATGTCCACTAGTTATCTCCTTACCATGTCCACTAGTTATCTCCTTACCATGTCCACTAGTTATCTCCTTACCATGTCCACTAGTTATCTCCTTACCATGTCTACTAGTTCCCCCTACCCACTTATCTCCTTACCATGTCCACTAGTTATCTCCTTACCATGTCCACTAGTTATCTCCTTACCATGTCCACTAGTTATCTCCTTACCATGTCCACTAGTTATCTCCTTACCATGTCCACTAGTTATCTCCTTACTACCATGTCCACTAGTTATCTCCTTACCATGTCCACTAGTCCACTAGTTATCTCCTTACCATGTCCACTAGTTATCTCCTTACCATGTCCACTAGTTATCTCCTTACCATGTCCACTAGTTATCTCCTTACCATGTCCACTAGTTATCTCCTTACCATGTCCACTAGTTATCTCCTTACCATGTCCACTAGTTATCTCCTTACCATGTCCACTAGTTATCTCCTTACCATGTCTACTAGTTATCTCCTTACCATGTCCACTAGTTATCTCCATGCCACTAGTTATCTCCATGTCCACTAGTTATCTCCTTTCCATGTCTACTAGTTATCCCCTTACCATGTCCACTAGTTATCTCCTTACCATGTCCACTAGTTATCTCCTTACCATGTCCACTAGTTATCTCCTTACCATGTCCACTAGTTATCTCCTTACCATGTCCACTAGTTATCTCCTTACCATGTCCACTAGTTATCTCCTTACCATGTCCACTAGTTATCTCCTTACCATGTCCACTAGTTATCTCCTTACCATGTCCACTAGTTATCTCCTTACCATGTCCACTAGTTATCTCCTTTACCATGTCCACTGGTTATCTCCTTACCATGTCCACTAGTTATCTCCTTACCATGTCCACTAGTTATCTCCTTACCATGTCCACTAGTTATCTCCTTACCATGTCCACTAGTTATCTCCTTACCATGTCCACTAGTTATCTCCTTACCATGTCTACTAGTTATCTCCTTACCATGTCTTGTAGGAAACTTGAATTGTTTTCACATATGAACTCAATCTTTAACAGTATATACTGAACAAATATGTATAATTGCTTAGTGGAAAATCACAGAACTGTATAATGTAATAACACACTCTGATTGACTTAAATTAACCAATCATGCTAGAGTCTATATATATATACTGCCTAAGCATGTTCAGGTATGATCATCATTAAACCAAGACTCACATCTTCAACATCATCATCCAGCTGTTCTAGAGGGTCGACCTCCTTCACAAGCTCCTGTAGGCGGCGCTTGTCCAGCACACGACCTTCACCCCCTGATGCTCCGTTAGAAGTCGTTGCCTGGGCTGGCATAGGGGCTGGGCTCAAGTTCTGGGCAGATTGGGGGATTGCCAACATTGGGGAGATTGTTGCAGGGCCCAGGGAGTTGTCAGGCAACTTGTTGCTACTCATCATCTGCAATAACTTGTGTACACATATTGGTATTACCATTATGTTACAAAGACATACTGATATTTATAACAATACTGTTACATAGACATATCAGTAATTATACCATTACAAAGTTAGGCAGACATACTGGTATACATTAACATTACAATGCTACATAGACATTCTGGTCATTTTTACCATTACAATATTACATCAACATAATGGTCAGTATTACCATTATAATGTTACAAAGACATAATGATAATTATTACCATCATAATGCTACAAAGACAATACAAGGGTATTTATCACTACAATGTTACATAGGCATAATGGTAAATATTATCAATATGTTACATAGACATAGGGGTAATTTTTACCATTATAAATGTTACAGACACAATGGGAATTATTACCATTATGTTACATTGACACAATGGTATTTATTACTATTATAATGTTACAAAGGCATAATGGTAAGTTTTACCATTATAATGTTACATAGACACAATGGTAATTATTACCATTATGTTACAGTGACACAGACACAATGGTAATTACTACCATTATGTTACACTGACACAATGGTAATTATTACCATCATGTTACACTGACACAGACACAATGGTATTTACTACCATTATGTTACACTGACACAGACACAACGGTAATTATTACCATCATGTTACACTGACAGACACAATGGTAATTATTACCATTATGTTACACTGACACACACACAATGGTAATTATTACCATCATGTTACACTGACACAATGGTAAATTGTTGCCATTATGTCACACAGACATAATGGTATTAATCACTATAATAATGTTATAAAGAGATAAAGAGTGAGTGAGTGAGTTAACTTTTACACCACACTCAGCAATATGCCAGCTATATATATGGCACTGGTCTGTAAGTAATCGAGTCTGGACCAGACAATCTAGTGATCAACGGCATGAGCATTGATCTATGTAATTGGGATACAATGACGTGTCAACCAAGTCTGCAAGCCTGACCACCTGATCCTGTTAGTTGCCTCTTATGACAAGCATGGGTTGCTGAAGATCAATTCTAACCCGGATCTTCATGGGGCCAAAGACATATTGGTAATTTTTACCATTATAATGTTATGTAGACACAATGGTAATTATTACCATTATGTTACACAGACATAATGGTATATTTATCACTATTCATATCATGTAAAACTGACATTCTGGTAATCATTCCAGTTACAAAACACTTTGATTCCAATACATGTTCAATAAGCATATTTTTATCTATAACCATAACGGTTCAGGCTCATAACGCTGACCTTTCGACCAAACTTTACGGTTGAGTGAAATATAAAGGTCGACGTCCTGAGACTAGTTTCATTTTGCCAATTAATAATGGATTACGAGGACAATGAAGGATCAACGAGTTTTTAGAGGAGGATAATCCGGATTATGCGGATGAGAGCGCACCTAATGAGAAGATAAAAACAGTTTATATCAGTTTATTTCCATACTTGAAACACTCATCAACAAACTCAGTTGACAGATTTTAACATTATTTACAATGATTCACATAAGCAAATACATGCTATTTTTAATAAATACATCGTAAATTCATATAGCACACATTTTTTCGCAGAGATTTTAACCCAAATTCAATAGGTGGGATGCTGAATCAGCAAACTGCCTCATGGACAGTGTTCCTTGTTCAAGCTGGTGACGGATGTTATCCAGTCGTCGCTCCAAATCCCCATGTTTCCTCTTCTTGGACGGACGCTTCTTGGCCCAGTTTGATGATTGTGTTCATCTTTCACCATGGTGACGATGTCATTCGTTGTTGACGCAGTGGATTTGCAGTCTTTTGCAGTACATATCCAAGATATCCAGTCTTGTTTTCTCTTGCTGACTCTGTACATGAACCCGCCAACAACCAAGTAACGACTGCCGCAAGCTGTAGGGATGAATCTCTGATCTAGCTGTGCATTTGCCATTTCTAAATGGAATGTGAATCCAGTGGCCATTCCATAGACATTTATACCAAAGATATGAACAGTGTTCAATATTGGCACTCTGCTAAGTGTTATTGTAAACTTTTCAATCAATTGGAAGTGACATATGCGACGAGTTCACCTTATCAAAACATCTAGAGTAGATTATCCACAACACTAATTAAGCCTAATCAGAACCTAACCTTCAAAGGAAACCGCAGGTCGGCGTCCTGAGACAAGTGGAAAATCGAAATGTCGGTGTCCTGAGACGACACCGCCATAACATGAACATTTGCATAAGTAAATGTTACACAAACATACTGGATCAATACCTGTTACATAAACATACTCTTGTGTTGCCATGTTCCTTATGGGTCTACATCATGAGCTATAGTGGAACCCTGTTATTCTGGTACAGTGGTTCCAAATTTACCAACATCAACATATCCTGGGTGCTTTTCACTATACTGTGTGTGGAACTGATGTTGAGAATTGTATGCCCATCATACAAGGAGACTGAAATATATCAGTGAGCGAATGAGTCTTGTTTTACGCCATTTTAGCAATATTCCACTATTATCACAGCAGAGGACACCAGAATGGGCTTCACACACAGCACACAAGTACTTTCAAGATAGCAACCTACACAAAGTTAGACAGTCCTGCATGTGTTAGCTTGTTCAGATCATGAAAACAGATCTAAATAAGTTCCTCATCTTGAGCTCATATGAGGACTTCAACTTCTTGCATTAGCCTCAGAACTGTAAGTAACTGCCAAGGAAAAGTTTAAACCCATTTTAAAACCCCTAAAATACTGTCATTAATACATCATGTACAACTCATGCCACTCTTTCCACATGATAAACCAGAAACTGCTGATCCTGTTATTTATCCTCGTACATATACTCCCCATCAAAAGTTTAGACTCACTTAAAGCATTCACTATATGTTATGTATATGTATGTGGTTACATCGAAGATGAATTCCTTCTCAAATTTGGGGGAACCAACTGCAAACCTTATGCAGATGAATTGCATGAGGATCATGCATCAAATTGCTGAAAAGCATGTGCAAATATCATGCATGTGAACAGCTGCGTTTTGGTGTAAAGTTTTGTTAAGAATTTGCCAATTTTCAGTTTCATTATTTATTGAACTCATGACAATAATATTTTCAACGTTACGAATTTGTTTTACAATACATCAGTTCATGTGTAAACAGTACCCTAGAACAGTTGCCTGAAGTAAGTGGCTACATTTACACTAGTGAGTCTAAACTTTTGATGGGGAGTATATTTTCAAACTTCCATGGTTTTCCGTCATTTGTCTGTGGTTCCATGTCCCTGCCGCTACACATGTCACGCGATGACAAAAACCAATACCTTTTGTTGCTCCAGCTTAGCCCTGTGGAAATACGATGTGAGTTTGGACAACTCTTCCTTCTGTTGCGGAGTGTGAGGACCAGGACCATAGGACTGTAAGACATGAAGGAGAGTGAAGGTCAACAAGGAGTTCAAGGACACTCACCAGTCATGGCGATAGTAACATGAACCTAGTGTCCATACAAGACTCTTATCAATCCTTATTTAACACACTTATTTGGAAATACATCTTCATCCATGATACTTGAATACTCATATACATTACATAAGTATAGCAACAATTTTCCATTCATCAGGATTTACTATAGCATAGCAGGGGTGGAAATAACTTTAAAATTGCTCGTGTATTCCGGTACAGTGGCACCTGTAAAATCACTTGCCCTGATAATTTTTCCACTATACCGGCCGTTTTCTTGTTGATTTTTTAAATAAACAACATAATTAACATTGGAATATCAACTGGACACCGGTACAGTGTGATATACAAATTTGCTTGCCCGTCAGAAAAAAACACTATACTCGGGCGTCGGGCAATGGGTTATTTCCACCCCTGTATAGAGTAGTGTTTTGGTTGGCGTGGTAATCAGATCCATATGTTCTAAATCCCAGGTGAAAAATGAATCCACTCATAATGTTGTGAAATGAATCGCCTTATTGTTGCCATATTACAACATCTCGACCAAAATGTTACAAGACTGAAAATTCAGATGACAGTTCACATTTACGTGTGTACACTATAGATGTTTTTGACTGAAAATAACAGTTCTAAAAGTGCATGGCAACTCATATTAGAATGATTGATTTCTGAAAACAACCCCAACAACTTGTTTATGATCTTAAAAAGCATTCCCTCTTGTCAAATTTATTTATTCAGCTTATTATGGCAAATACTGTTATCATTGTTACAACTTTCCAAATATGTTTTTCGCTAGTTCTTATTGCTAAATCAGTTGATCCAGTATGTGGTTACTATGGTTACACTGATTTTCACTTAAATATATGGTAACTTTTCAAATAAAACATGACACATGATAAACATGATGATGATGTATGTGAAGCAATGTTATAATAATCTATAAGAAGATAAATAAGGACTGGTAATTAGTCTCAGCCATTGTTGCTATTTAACCATCATATCACCATGGTAACTAGGCCTAATTTTCACGAACACAAGGATGCATCTTTTGAAAAGGGGGACTATGCTCAATATTGTCAAGCATCATTTATAAAGGTACACAGTGAGTGTCTACAGGGTATATTGACAGCATAAGAGAGTCAAACTGAGACAAGGTCTGTGTAATAACCGCTATAATGGATTGTTAGAGTGATACACATATTAAATAAGCGTTAGCCTTGTTAGCATACAAATGCAGTGGACAGAACTTGCTAGAACTGTAAATGTCCTTAAGCCTAGTAAGGCTGTTATGATTCACTCGCATATTCGGTGAATTGAACCGTAGCCCTTCATGAATTCGATTCGTTATTCGTGGCCACCAGAAGCGAATATTAACAATTATTTGCGATTAAGGGAGCATGTTTTACTTGAATTCTTACATCCTTTTTCAAAGTAAGACATGCAACTGAGATGCAAGAATGGAATATGTACTAGCATATGCAGTCATGTTTGTTTGCCAAGGCCGCGCGCACGGTACTGTCAACTCTAACTATTACATACCAAATTTGAGTGTCATGAGATCACTGGTTATTACTGTGACAAATTGACACTGTCAACATGGGCATTCCATATTGTGCCTCAATCACTTAACAGCAATATTGTATTCGTGAAAAATTATTCGTATCCATTACCCAATATTCGTGATACATATCATATTCACCACATAGTGTATTTGTTGCAGCCCTAGAGCTTAGTCCCCCTTTCACACATAATCATAACCATGACAGCACATCACAGACGCACACCAAAATTCAAAAATGATCAAACATGAACAAAACAAAATACACACAAAGAGACATCAACACTGCTATACGACAATGTCCCTCTATTTTCTACTCAGTAAAACAGAGCTGAAAAACGTACACCATGACCATGATATGATTTCCTTCATGTCTTCCAACTCATGAATATTCATGATCTGGATTCAATGACAACGATGATGATGACGAATGAACAAAACAGTTTGTTTGAAACCAGTGCCACCCGTCACCACATACCGCTATCTGACCTTCCACTTGTCTAATGGTGTCTGCAATGCTTGGTTTAGGTAGCGCGCCTGACGTAGGGGGCGCCACTGTGGTACTGACCATACCACTACTTCCACTAGGTTGGCAATTCATGCTGGATGCATCACTCATTGTCATACATTTCAAACACCTTCCATATCTGATAGCATGCTTCGTCTACAACTGGAAAGGATTGTTCATTGTTACTATGAGAATCAGGGTTAGTACTTCATACATAAGCTTTTTAGCATAGACATTGTAGGTTAGTGTTTCATAGGTGAAGAGAATTACAGAAGGGTGTTAACTCTAAACTTCAGCAATATCAGCAGCTAATCAGTAACTGACTTGGATTTAACACCAACAGTATTTCAGTCAAATGACAGCATGTCAGCTTAGTCTAAGATGGGTCACTGACATATACCACCCAAGAGCAATGACATAGTGCTGTAAAACCATGGTTCACAATCTGACAAATCTGGGACTTGAACACAATGTTATTGTGTGCTGAGACTGCTAAGGGACACAACTCTGCAGAGGAAAATGAGGGGTTCTTTAGACCAGTGTGCCACCACAAAAAACAGCAACAACAGAGAGGATGTTGTCTTGTGCTTTCATCAGTCAGGGATACTGCATCCATATTATCTTGTAGTCCTGGGAAACTGTCAGTTTTAAAACTGATCTATGGTACACAGTTCCGTGTGATTCCCCTTTGCTTCATCTTTCACAACAAGCAAAAGACAAAATCCATTTATTCTATGTGTTATAGGGCTAAAAGTCAAAACATTGGAATAATACAAAAAAGCTGAAAACAAAAAGCTAGTGGTTTTAAGAAAGTGACTTATGAATATGTGACATAGTTTTCTTTGCATGTGTGTGTATGAAAATTTTAGAAGACCAATTAAATGTTAAATGAAGCTAAACATAAACACTGTAATTGTGTTTTCTATGGCAGTGATGGTAGTGAATTACAACCAAGTTCGTTTTATACACAAAGAACAAGCAGGTCAACATAGTCAATGCACAAGCAGTAATTTAGTTCTAAATTGGTCATGTTTAGATCACTCAGGCAATACTCTTAAGAGCTCATGGGATATCTTGTACATTAAAATTGTCTAAGGATATAGAGAAGATAATTAAATGTTAACTGAAGTAGAATGTCATGCCGTGTATTTGAAAATTGTTTAATCATTGGTTTAAAAATATCCAACAGACTGGAACCAAGTGGCCTCAATAAAATTAAAATCTTGTTATGAAAACACAGCATGATCAATGGCTCAAAAGATAATCTGGAACCGTATGAAATTGGTGAACAATGTTCATTAAAAGTGAGTCAGGTTTTATGCCACATGTAGCAATATTTCAGCAGGGGAGCACTAGAAATAGGCTTCACAAAATGTACCCATGTTGGGAATCGAACTGGCACTCTACTTGTCTACTGGTGTTTTCAGCATAACCAGCAAACGCTTTAACCGTGTTAACCTGTTAACCACTTGGCTAACCCACTGCTTCTTTTTCATTAAAATGGCCTTACAGATATTAGGAGATAAAGAGAAAGACAGTAGTGCCGACAGTAGTTTCTCTAGTTTACTGTTAATAGAAGCATGTTCAGAATAGTGCACTATTGAAAATGATCAAGGCTAGGTCAAGCTGTACAGGTTTAAATATGAACAAACATACATTCAAATAAATACTATATAATCGACATAAGTATCATAAGCACATGCATGATACATAAGACATGACAGAAAATGCAGGCGACCAAATTAAATATGAAATAATCAGTACATTTGTACAACCGCTCTCAGCACAGCTACCGACCAGCCGCCATCTTAACGAGTCTCTGCCGTCGATGATAGAGATATACGACATCTCATTTTCTTAAAATATCTTCGGTATTGAAATAATGATTACTAACATATATATTGCTCGCATTAAAAAGACAATTGACGCCCTTGCATTGGAAATTGTGGTGAAGTAATACAATAAATGAAAACAAATGTTATTGTACGACAATGATAAATATCGTAAATGTATTCGTAACTTCCGTTTCTTGTTGTGGTTTTCAGTGACGTTGGACGTATGACAGTTATGTGTCATCTGTGTGTGTTACCTATTTGACAGTGGTATAGATGACGCGTGCTGAGTAACTTCTCACATTAGACAAAATGGAAAAATCGTCCAAGCCAAACATGAATGCTTCCTCTGTAAGTTTTCCCCATTTCCCTAGACCTCCAGTTTTCGCGCACCTTACAAATGTCATCGTCTGCAACTGTTGTTTACCAATCGCAGCTGATAGAAACAATTGTATCTGTCCAATAAAATGTATCTTATAGTATCTGCCGTTGTTTTACAGATCCCGCATGCGATAGGTACACCCTTCTGACCGAAGCACAAAGCATTGGGTGTCAGTTTCCGATTATTTCACTGTCTTAGGAAAAGGGTTTTTCACAAAAGAATATGTGAACCATGAAATTAAAAGGTCTAGACGATGCCAGTCATACTTGTAAATACTAAGTGGTCAGTACATGTAGGAGTATTAGTCGATTTATTTTAAAGTGAAAAACATCTTTAAATGTTAAGATATGTGAAGCATGTTTGTTGTGCTTGATGTTATGCATTGGGGTATAAGTCTACTTTTAATTTGGGTGTGAAATATCCAGGATTGGGTCCCTTTTCATGTATTTTTTAGGAGCTTTACAAGTTAACTCATGTTTTTCAAGAATAAAGCCATGTGTGACTTTCATTTTCATCTTTTTAAATACTCGATACCATGTTACAAACGCAAAATATTATATCACAGTCACAAGAAATTGATGTTGTCATTAGTGATAAAACCACTAATGTGCTTAGAGTTTACATAAAAATAAATAGTGAATAAAAAATTAATATAAATTATACTTGAGAGGTATACACGTAATCTTTCTTGTTTTCATTGCATGTTGGATACAATGTGTGAAGACCATTTCTGGTGTCCCCCGCTGTGATAGTGCTGGAATATTGCTAAAAGTAAAAAAGGGCATGAAACTGAACTCACTCACTCACTTTGCCATTGGAGTATTTATACTGGTAGTATTATATTTGACAGCTGATAGATTTGAAAGCTGAGCTGTATCGGAAGCATGAAGAGTTCAAGCAGCTGAAGAACACAACCGGAACACTGATCAAAGGAAGAACTCAGGAAAAGGTAACCTGAAACTTATGTCAGTACAGCTGAATCCTGTAAATGACAAACTTTACTTGAGAGAAGGAAGTGTGCTATTCACAGGAGTATACAGTTACAAAGAGTTACATAAGAGTGCTGTTCGACCACAATGAAAGTCATTACAATACCAGTACCTGGAAAGTTAACATTTTGGTATGAAAATTATTAGACATTCATAAGAATTTATAAATCTCTAGTGACGTCACTCTGTTGTTCAGTTGGGTTCATCTCTTACAGCTTAAACCATGTGTTCTGAACAAGATGGGTAGTGCGTGCAGAGGCAAGGTATTGGCTACCAGTCGCATCTCAGTTGATTTCAACAGTATAAACAACTGAAGCCTTGTTTTGTTGTCAACAAAATGCTTAAATGTAAATTGTACATGTTGTCGGTCTTATAGGATCAAAATCTCCTCCTTGGTTTTGATCCTTTACATATACAGTTAAACAGAACCGATGATTCATATTCACCATGTATTTCACATAAGTATAGTTTATGAGGTATGGTATGGTATGGTTTTAATCATCACAAATAAAAAGAAAATATTAAATAGTACTTTAAAAATTTGCAAATACTCAATTTAACTTAGGTGTGGGCAACTTGAGTATGACATGATTGATTTACTTGTCCCAAGACTAAGCCTGACCTGTTCAGTCAGAAGAATAAGGGTGTGTTGGAACGAGCACAGCGGGACCTGGCGGAGAAGGTGGAGGAAGAAGATGTACTTGTCAGGTCAAGGTGAGGTCATATACTTACTACCTCTGACATCACACGGGGCGTTGGGGTAGCCTAGTGGTTAAAGCGTTCGCTCGTCATGCCGAAGACCCGGGTTCGATTCCCTACATGGGCAAAATGTGTGAAGCCCATTTCTGGTGTCCCCCGCCGGGATATTGCTGGAATATTGCTAAAAGCGGTATAAAACTAAACTCACTCACTCTGACATCACACACAGGGGTTTTGATGGAGGTTTCACGTGTAGCATAAGAAAAAGAAGAAAACATGAGATGAGTCATATTTGTGATAGAAGATGTGTCATATTCTTAATGGAAAAGCTTTACAGAAAGTTCCTTTAGGTTTTATTATGATTCAACACAAATATATTTTATTGTATTTTTACCTTTGTGTTTTGAGCATGCTCATAAATTCTCTTAAGTCAACGGCTCTGTAAACTTCCTCTCTGTTGTTGTCTTGTGATGACAGGTAATTCATAGATTGATACTGCTTAGTGTCAGTGTGACTTCACCTCATCCATCTGTTACAGTTTATTTTACTTATTTGTATTCATTGTTTTAATGCAATACTCATGATACTAGATACAGTGTCTGAAATTCATGACCCGTGAAGATCCGGGTTAGAATTGATCTTCAGTAACCCATGCTTGTCGTTAGGGGCGACTAATGGGATCGGGTGGTCAGGTTCACTGATTTAGTTGACACATGTCATCGTATCCCAACAGCGTACATAGATGCTCATGCTGTTGATCACTGAATTGTGTGGTCCAGACTTGATTATTTACAGTCGATATAGCTGGAATATTGCTGAGTGCGGCATTAAACAACAAACAAACAAGCACTTGTTGTGTTGACTTTGTTGTTTTGTGTAGGCCCCAGGTGTTTCCATTCACACCTTCTACCTTTGATGAGTTAGGAAATGTGTTAGATTCATCTGTCTTGTGTCCTTCAACAGAAAAGCTTTAGAAGCCAAAGCCAAGTTGTATGACAAGATCTCTTCCAGTTCGGAAATTCCAGGTAAGTATTTTATTTTACTGACTGACTGACTGACTGACTGACTGACTGACTGAGTTTGGTTTTAGGCCGCTTTTAGCAATATTTCAACAACATCACGGCGGGGGACACCAGAAATGGGCTTCACACATTGTGCCCATGTGGGGATTCGAACCCGGGTCTTCGGCGTGACGAGCCAACGCTTTAACCATTAGGCTACCCCACCGTCCCTAAGCATTATTTTAACCCAGCACATCATGTTTAAATCATGTAATTATGTATTTGACTTTCCTTGTCAAATAGAACAGTGTTATTATGTATTTGACTTTCCAGTGTTAATATTTTAATGAGTGGCACTGTGAAACCAGACCAAATGTTGTTCTAGCAGAAACAAAACTGTTCATCCACCCATGTCTTTTGGCAAAGCGAAATATCCTTTTCATTTTTTCAGATAATTTTCATGTGAGAGAAACCAAAACAGAATAAATATATCAGTATTCAAATATACATGTACTACTCAAAAGAAGTTATCTGTTTTATTCTGTAAGATATGTGTATATCGGTTTGCAAATACACTCCTCAAAAGAAGTTATCTGTTTTATTCTGTAAGATATGTGTATATCGGTTTGCAAATACACTCCTCAAAAAAGAAGTTATCTGTTTTATTCTGTAAGATATGTGTATATCGGTATGCAAATACACTCCTCAAAAAGAAGATATCTATTTTATTCTTTAACATATGTGTATATCGGTTTTGCAAATACACTCCTCAAAAGAAGTTATCTGTTTTATTCTGTAAGATATGTGTATATCGGTTTGCAAATACACTCCTCAAAAGAAGTTATCTGTTTTATTCTGTAAGATATGTGTATATCGGTTTGCAAATACACTCCTCAAAAGAAGTTATCTGTTTTATTCTTTAAGATATGTGTATATCGGTTTGCAAATACACTCCTCAAAAGAAGTTATCTGTTTTATTCTGTAACATATGTGTATATCGGGTTTGCAAATACACTCCTCAAAAGAAGATATCTATTTTATTCTTTAAGATATGTGTATATCGGTTTGCAAATACACTCCTCAAAAGAAGTTATCTGTTTTATTCTGTAAGATATGTGTATATCGGTTTGCAAATACACTCCTCAAAAGAAGTTATCTGTTTTATTCTGTAAGATATGTGTATATCGGTTTGCAAATACACTCCTCAAAAGAAGTTATCTGTTTTATTCTGTAAGATATGTGTATATCGGTTTGCAAATACACTCCTCAAAAAGAAGTCCTCGGTTTGCAAAAGAAGTTGAACTGGCAATCAAATAATACTCGTAAAGACATATGGGTAAATTTTTCAGTCAAATGAAAGAAACTGGAGTTATTTAACTTCTTCCAGTAGTGTATTTTGATGCATGAGGCTTACATTCAACCTGTTGTTGTGCTTAACATTTGTTTAAAGGCAGTGAGCCTATCACATAATACCCTTGGTAAATGCCAATGGTGGAGTAATCTCCCTTGAGTTGTAACGATCAGCCCAGTATGCAATAAACATTGTGACCCAAATACTGTCTTGTTCATCAAGTAACCAACCCATCAACAAGTGTTGTGAACGTCAAGTAGTTCAACATTGCTTTTATGTATTTCAGAGGAAGATGGCAGTGGAGTGTTCCTTGTTGATTTCCAGAAGAAGGTTATCGACAATATCGTGGAGACGAGAGACAGAGAGAATAGCAAGGGGAGACAACTCCCATCAGACAAACAGGATGAAGAGATGCTGTCTGAACCTGTTCCTCCACCATCAGACCCCCAGGAGGAGTGGTGAGGAGTTTAGGGACCGTCCATTCAATATTTATGTCAAGGTCTTGAATTTTTAGGGAGACCAATAAATTTCAGTCAGCTCTTCAAAACATATTTTGTTTTTGAAATAAGAGCCAAACAATATTTTAAGGACCTGCATTTCCTTTGTAGAACTGCCAACATGGCTAGTATACATACAATTTTCTGTCTGAGGACAGATTCTATCTTTCAAACCTTTAGGGGAATGCATAATTTTAATGAAATTTGGAGAAGGACCAACGTTTCAAGTATCTTCAAGAACAAATAATATTTTTCAGAAATTCCCAGTCCCCTGAAGCATCTATGAATTGAAGGAGTAAACAGTTTTGATATTTTTAGTTCATGGCCTCCACATGTTCACACATGATGCCCAAAACATGCCAAAGTTTAAAAGAAATATGAAAAGACAACTCCATCTTAATTTTTTCAGTAAATACATAAAAAGAAGGAGTTTAAGCACTCCAGATCTAAAATTTTTATTTGGTCTTGAACTTTCAAGAATATTTTCTGCTGTGTTGGTAATAAAAGAAATGGAATGTCTGATGTCTTTCATGATCACTGGATTCTGTGCTCCAGATTCCATTGCTGCCATATAGCTGGAATATTGCAGAATGGGGCATTAGACAACAAACAGACCAACAAATATGACAGAGAGATTTGTGATAGACTTTATCATTGGATTGTGTAGCAAACATGAAAATATGATGAAATCTCTTCACTAAGGTGGACTACACACACTCCCTTGGCAGATCTCTGACAAACAAATATGACAGAGAGATTTATGATACACTTTATTGTAGGATTGTGTAACATACATGAACATATGATGAAATGTCTTCACTAGGGTGGACTACACGGACTCCCTTGGCAGATCTCGGCGCTGTATGAAGAAAGACTTGCCACAGTTGATCCAACAGGACAAGGACATGGCTGAAGTCAGAGGGTAGGTGATGGAATAAACATCATATCCAGGGCTGAAGTCAGAGGGTAGGTGATGGCATAAACATCATATCCAGGGCTGAAGTCAGAGGGTAGGTGATGGAATAAACATCATATCCAGGGCTGAAGTCAGAGGGTAGGTGATGGAATAAACATCATATCCAGGGCTGAAGTCAGAGGGTAGGTGATGGAATAAACATCATATCGAGGGCTGAAGTCAGAGGGTAGGTGATGGAATAAACATCATATCCAAGGCTGAAGTCAGAGGTCAGAGGGTAGGTGATGGAATAAACATCATATCCAAGGCTGAAGTCAGAGGGTAGGTGATGGAATAAACATCATATCCAGTGGGGCTTCCACGGGTACTCGAGTACTCGAGGACGAGTCGGGTTTAGCTGGACTCGAGTCCATTTTCAAGGACTCGAGGACTCGAAAAGGGGAGATAACTCGAATTATTGACGTTGACAGACTGTCTGCCATGTGCTAAGCATGAGCGGCCGTTAACGTCTAATATTAAGATAAGATATAACTTTATTATCCCGGAGGAAATTCTTATACATCCAACTGTCTCAATATGAATATATACACAGTTCACAAAAATATACACAATAATTACATGCTCAAAACGAATGCTATTTACACAATAAAACTGACATGATATAATTCAATTAACCACATAGGTAAAGAGGCTGAATAATTCTAGTTGTAATCACGTGATGGTGATTCAAAATATTTGTTGCATTCACGAATACTTGATGGTATGAAAGACTGTCGAACTCTGTTTTGAGGGAAGGTAATCGACAGCAGCGTCCAGAAGGAAGTAGTTCAAAATGGTGAGATCAAATATGTCAACTATCAAATCTAATTTTAGTTGCCTTTGTGACAATCTGGCGCTCATAGATAAAGGGAATATACTTGAAAGACACCCCAGAAATTTTGCAAGCAGTATTAACAATTTTGAAAAGCTTGTTTTTGTTGCAATGAGACAGACCCCCATACCAACATAGAAAATTGTAGGTCAACACACTTTGAATAAAGGTTTGATAAAAAACTGTCATTACGGTTTTGTCAATGCCTTGACGATAATAATGTTCAGAATCAGAAATTAGGCCAGTAACAGTGGCGTCATCTGCGAATTTCACAGTAAACACGTCATATATTGACAAGTAACAGTCATTGGTATACAAAACGAAGAGTACGGATGAAGGAACACAGCCATTTGGTTCTGCAGTAGAGGTTGAGAGAAAAGAAGATTGATAGCCATTGACACTGACATACTGAGTTCTATGTACCCTGAATTCTTTAACCCATCTGATAATGTTTTTATTAACACCTAGATTAAATAGTTTACTCCTCACACGGTGTGGCTGTATGGTATTAGTTGTTACAAGTCTGCAGATGAGAGTAAATATTATACATCGTTTGAAATTTCACTTCTTAAAATGATAAGGTAACTATCTTGACAATTGATAGACATGGAGAAAGATAAAAAATCAAATGTATGGGCGTATCTTGATCTGGATAGAGAAAAGAGAAAAATAACCAAATGCCGCCTGTGCGGTATATCACTGCGTTTTGCAGGCAGTACAAGAAGTACGATGAAAAAAACATTTGTCAAGTAAACATCCAAATACTGATTCTGACCAATGGGAAATGTTAGTCACATAACGATATAAAGTCGGAATGAAGTAAGTGTTCACTTGTGTGATCGGAACACATGTCATGCAAGTTACGCTATTGTTTGCTTGAAAGGTATGAATTTCGAGTACTCGGGTCCGAGTCGAGTCTCACCCCTCGAGTACTCGAGTCCAAGAAAAATGGACTCGTTGAAGCCCTATGATTTGATTCTTGGTTTGTGGGCTCCCACCCATGTTCATTTGCCATACGTTTACCAGGATGGTGTTGCATCATTACTTGTGGGTGGCAGACATCTATGACCTGCATGACGTTAGGCATCTATTGTTGTTTAATTTCCACATTAAGCTGACATGCTGAACTAGATACTGTTGGAGCTTAAGTCACTTTATTAACATTGCTAAGTACTGCTGTCAGGGTTGAGTTCATAATGTTCCATCCGGTCATGGTTTGTGGATTTGTTATTGAGGTTTATTTGCTTGTTGTAGAGATCCGAACCCATGGAGTTGGATTCTACCAGTTTGACAAGGACACAGAGAAACGTCAGGAACAGATGGATGCATTGAACGAGCTGAGGGATCAGGTAGATGAAATGCCTTAACTGTGAAGATGCCTGTTATAGCCCATCTTTCTGTATGATTGGTTGGTTGGTTGGTTAACACTGCACTCAGCAGTGTTCCACCTATACGACGTATGTCCGTAAATAATCGAGTCTGGACCATACAAACCAGTGATCAACAGCATGAGCATCAATGTACGATGGGATATAGGGATATGATGACATGTGTCAACCAAGTCAGTGAGTCTGACCACTTGATCCTGTTAGTCGCCTCTTATGACAAGCGTGACTGAAAACCAATTCTAACCGAGATGTTCATGGGGATTGGGATCTGTCAGGGTCTGTGGTGATACTTCGAACTCCAGACATCTCCATAGGTTTGTAGGTTCTGCCCAGAAAGTGAAAGGTCATTGGCTCCGTCTACCGGCTGGTCATACCAACAGAGATTGCTGCCTGTGTTGTTGAAGATTGATGTTCATGCTATTAACCATTGCTGTACTGGGACCTGACTCAAAACAGTCAAATGTCATGATGATGTATACTTAGAAAGGGCATCATTTTTGTTTCATGTCTGTAACATAGCCACCAAGTTCTGAACATGGGTCAAGGGGAAAAAAAGGACAAACTTTATAAAAATTAGACAGGTTGGCCGGACGATGAGAAACACAGAAAATAAAAATGCTGCCCAAAGTGGAGATAATTTTTCCTTGACTCTAAGCTCTACAGTTTGTCATCACAGCTGTGGGGATCAGAACCGACAGTACCCCAGCAACCTATGCTTGTTGCAAGAGGTGATTAAATGCACTTGCTGTCAGAAATGACCTTAAGCATTGCACTCATGTAGGGAGACAAATTAATACATTAATTCAGTATCAGATATACCAGTTGTGGTTTGCGACATCTGTTCCTTCCACTGGGTCCGGTGGCCCTGGATCCTGCTTCCTTTTGAGCTCCGACTGCCTGGTTTCGGGCAGCCCCTGTGCTACTAACCTTAAGACCTCTTACAAGCCTGAGGGCCTGTGCTGCTTTTCATTTTGGAGACATGTTTCCTAGAAATCCTAGAGCAGTGTTGCTGATGTGGGAATTTTGCTAGTACTTCAACAGTACTAGTAGTGTGGCTTTTGTGGAAGATGAGTGAGTGAATTGGGCTTTACGCCGCTTTTAGCAATATTCCAGCAATATCACGGGGGGGACACCAGAAATGGGCTTCACACACTGTACCCATGTGGGGAATCGAACCCGGGTCTTCGGTTTGACAAGCCAACACTTTTAACCACTAAGCTACCCCACCGCCCCTTGTGGAGAACGACTGACTGACTGAGTTTAGTTTTACACCGCTTTTAGCAATATTCCAGCAATATCATGGGGGGGACACCAGAAATGGGCTTCACACACTGTACCCATGTGGGGAATCGAACCCAGGTCTTCGGTATGACAAGCCAACACTTTTAACCACTAAGCTACCCCACCGCCCCTTGTGGAGTGTAATGTACAGGGTAATCGATAATAATTACCCTATATAGATATCTTTACTACTTATGACGTATTTTGGGTATACTAATTCCCGCGGTATCAGTTACACTGTCCATGTAGTGTTGTTCCGTGCCAGTGCACTGCAACATATAGTTTACCGTGATCTTTAGATTACGAGAGCTCATACCGTTGGAATTAGTATGTAAAACAGATCCAAGCCATCTCTTAACCTCGCTCCATCAGTCTACCTGATGTATGTAATGTATGTAGCTTACTTTGGTGTTGACTTGTGCTGCCTCAGGTAAGCTACGCCTCGGCATGGGCCGCCATGTTGTGACGCCATAGCGAGGTGTGTTTTAGAAGGTTTCGTATCTAGGATTTTACGTCACAATAGAAATAACGGGATGAGAGATTCTCGATTAACGGTTGAGAGACAGACGAATCACTGAGAGTTGGATGGTTGCATCTCGATCGTGAGGGAAGAAAACCCTGAATAACATGTAAGTTTACACCCTGCTTGCCGGAGGCACTATACTATCGCAGAAGCCGCATGTAAAATCTTTCTACTGTTGTAACTATATATAATTGTACTGTACCTTATAACTTGTAGAGTAACGCTTTGGGCGGCGTGATTGCATATTGTCTTTACTGTTAGAAGTTTGCTATTGTTTATAATAAATTTGCTGTTGGTAACTTTTATGACTTGTGAAATCATTTACTAGTTAAAACTGTTGTGTTGCCGTGGCTGGAAGAGAGTGATCCACATACCCACATTGTCGTAGTAAATACCTCTCCAGCCACCCGTCGAATCCGCTACAGTTTTATGGTGGCAGCGGTGGGATCCATTTTGGATCACCTAGTAAATTGTGACTAGTAAATTAATTTATTATAAATGTCAAGTAATATAGTGAGTAATTTGTAGTTTTATTAAATCATTTGTATAGTACTGAATATATTAGTCATGGCAAGTCCTTTGAGTAGTGCTGATCCTTTGATGGTCCTGCTGGAAACTTACGCTCTCGCCGGATGCAAATCAATCCAGAGTTAAACTCTGAGTTAAATTCGGGAACATTCTCCCCAGGTTACATGAACAATTCTCCTGTTCATAGACAATCTTTTGTTGAACCTGTACCACCACCAAACACACCACCTGCCATGGTGAGCTCAGATTCAAACTTATTGGGTCTTGTGTCACAGCTGTCAAGCTGCATGATAAGTCTATCACAGAGAATTGATTCTCTAGATCGCTTCTGCTAAGAATAATTCTGTGGGAAGAATTTCGCTTCAGCTGCCAAAATTTAATGGTACCGGTGATTACCGTGTGTTTGAGTCACAGTTCTCAAACCTTGCAGCCCAGTCCGACTGGAGTAATGCTCAAGCCGCCCAGATGATGGGTTGCGCTTTGGAGGGTGTAGCTCAGAAATTCTATTCTGGCTTACCTGAGAGACAAAGATGTGATTTTTTGTGGCTCTCTCAATGTTTGAGAAGAAGATATATAGCTAGCTCTTCCGGGATGTGAGGCAAGAAGAATTGCTCACCCGTGTTCGCCAGCCAGGAGAACGAATTGCTGATTTATGGCGTGATGAAATCTGGTGTCTTGCTCAAGGTGCTTACCCGATTTGTCGTGATGAACTACAAGAAAGATTTGCTTTTGATGCTGCTCAAGAGAGCTGTAGGGAAGGAATTACGACTTCGATTCATGGACCGTGGGGTCAGTACACTTCAAGAGGCAGTTGATGTTGCTGAGATGTACGAGTCCATCGTAGGGAAGCCCGTCAGAACAAACCGGTGAGAGCTCTCAGTCCTCATCCTTCTTCTGGGAGAAGAGTTCACTTCAAGCGGAGGAGGATTCAGAGGACCAGCGTTTTTAAGATGTTGACTGATCAATTGTCGGAGCTTCAGAAGACAGTTGAACGATTGGCCTCTGTACAGCAGCAGCAGTCGTATTCAAGACGCCACCAGTATCAGTCTAGAGGCAGCCCAGGTCACCAAAGATCTGGAGATAAGAATAAACATGTCAATGGTTCAGAGTATCATCAATCTTTTTCCCGAGAGAAAAAAAGATCAGGGGAACAGGCACTCCTCTCTGGTTCACCGAGTACAGGCAGACACTCCAGTACCTGTTATAAATGCAGTGGGACTGGACACTGGGCATCCGAATGTCCAAGTAAATGCCACATTACCGAGCAATCGGGAAACCGATCACCCACCTTCCGGGTTTAGGTCGGATTTGGTGGAGTCTGATAAAAATGGAGCCGCAAATCCTAAAATAACAAAACAAGAGGTCATATCGAGGGAGAGATTTGTTTGGTTTCTGATCAAGGGGACAACTCCTTCAACACTCACTCCATCTGACCCGATTCCTGTCAAGGCCAATTTCCGAGCCTGTTTCAATATTGGCGATAAAGGCCAACTTGTCAGTCTTAAGATTGGAAAGGCTTACTTCACCCTGCTAGTGGATACCGGTAGCCAGGTATCTCTAGTGTCCCCTGTCACGAGTAAACGATTGTCTTCATCTGTAGCTGTCAGTTCCGTGGACTTCATGCTTGAAGCTGTAAATGGAAGTCTGTTTAAAGCCCATGGTCTTTTCAAGCACCTGTTCATGTGAGTGATGATATTTACCCCACTGTGGAGGAATTCCTGATTGCAGAGGTGGATAATTCCCATGAATGTGATGGTATTCTTGGAGTAGATGTGTTGGAGAGACTTGAGGGTCTGATTGACGCCGCTGGGTCGAACTCCGGTTGCTTGGCAGTTGGTTGCCAATGGTTGGATCAGAAACCACTGTCAGCATTGCTGATGACGCTCACCTACCACCTCACTCCGCTTCCTACGTCCAAGTTTCCTTGCCGGAGTTAATCAAAACCATCCTCAGTCCTTGTTGAACCCTGTAAAGACATACTTTTACAATAAGGTTTAATGATGAGTAACTCCATAGTTCATAATGAAACTAAAGCAGCCACAGTTAAAGTCATTAATGTTTTAGACAGCTTAATACACTTTAACTAAGGGGAGAATTATAGGTCAATGTTATGGGACTAAAGTCATAGAACCTACCATAATCCCAAAGAGAGTTTCTAAGGTTAGGGTTGCAAATCCCGAGGTTCCCGAACACTTAGTAGATTTGTTCGAGAGAAGCCAAGATAATCTTACCCTGGAACAACAGGAAAAACTCAGAGATCTCCTGTATACTTACAGAGATATTTTTGCTAAGAACGATGATGACCTAGGTCGTACAGGTCTGGTGAAACACTGTATCGATACTGGGGATGCTAAACCCATCAAGCAAGCTCCATCGCCGCCAAACTCTTGCTAAGCAAGAAGCCGGAGGAGAAAGAGGTTGCCCGAATGTTAGAGCAAGGCGTTATTCGCCAATCGAATAGTCCTTGGTCTTCCCCAACGGTATTAGTGCAGCTGATGGTCGTTGGAGATATTGCTGTGATTTTAGGATGCTCAATGGTGTTTCTCGTTAGGACAGCTATCCCCTTCCTCGAATAGGCGATTGTATTGACTGTCTAGGAGGGCAACCATGTTCTGCACGATGGACCTTC